AAAACCAAACACCACATGTTCTTACTCATAAGTGGGAGCTGAACAATGAGAACACATGGACACAGGGAGGGGAACATCACACACTGGGGCCTGTTGGGGGATGGAGGGCTAGGGGAGGGATAGCATTAGGAGAAATACCTAATGTAGATGACAGGTGCAGCAAACCACCATGGCACATGTATACCTATGTAACAAAACTGCACGTTCTGCACATGTATCCTAGAACTTAAAGTATAATAATAATAAAAGAAAATGTTCTGGAATTATGATAGTGATGATGGTTGAAAAATTCTGTTGATATACCAAAAACCATTGGATTGTACAACTTTAAATGGGTAAATTGTATGGTACATGAATTATATCTCAAATATACCAAAAAAAGAGGGGGAGGAGGGAGGTGATATCTGTTCCCCCTCCTGTTGAAAGCAGCTGGCCTTGAGACTCATTTTGAACACTAGAATAAGGGATAAGTGATGCTATGCCAGTTCTGGGCCTAGCCCAAAATCCTGGCAGCTTCCACTTTCACTCTGTTGGAAGCTAGCTGTCATGTAAAGCAGCTTAAGCTAGACCACCCAATGATGACAGACTATGTGCAGAGAGAGGCCTCGTGGAGGCAAACCAAGACCCTAGTCATGTGAGTGAGGTCATCTTGGATAGCTTACACCCAGCCAGGCTGACAGCTGAATTAAGTAACATGAGTGACCCCACGAAAGATCACACGAAGCAAGAAGAGCCTCCCAGCCAACTCAGAGAATCATGAGAAATAATAAATCGTTGTTTTAAGCCAGTGAGTTGGGGGTGATATGTTATGCAACAGATAACTGAAACACAACCTTTCTGAGTCTCAGATTCCACTTCTATAACATGAGACTGATACTATGGGGTTGTTGTGAAGATTACATAAAGCTAACACCAGCATGGTGCTCAACAAATACTAGTTGTTATTCTTAAAAACCACCCAGGAGATCCTTGACATAATCTGCAGGTATGCTCTTCTGGGAGGCCTTATTCCCACAAGCACTTGCTGCTTCCAATCACATGGCTTCCAAAAGGTTGGCTTCTTAAAAAAACAAAAGGTGGGTTTTCTTGCTACAATCTCTGACACATGAATTTTGAATCATAAACAGATGACCAAGGAAGGTTCTGCTTAGGTTAGCCATTTACCCGACCCTGCTCATCCATTCATCACACCTTTATTAAGCCCTAACTAATTATCAGACACCAATTAAGGATAAAGGAGATCCTCCTTCCTTTGAAAAATAAACCATTTCTACCTATGTATCTATTAACATAATATGCTACACACTTGAACTTGAGTGGACAGAGAAAGTATCTACAATAGTAAATCTAAAATCATTCAACTGGAAAGAAAAAGCTTAAATTTCCATATAGAGCTCATATACACAGCATGAGAACACATAATTCTGACTGGGAATCCCACAAGCAATACCAGAGCAAGGAATGAAATGGGTCCCTAAAGGGTTCATCTCTCAGTGAGGCTACATCCTTCCAAGAGTCCCATTCACAGAACATGGAGCCCAGGTGACAAAATTTGACCATTTAGCACTACCTGCTATGTTTTGGTGCAGAAAGGATCTGGGCAGTTAACAATTCACAAGCTAATGACAGAGAAATAAATTCTTGGGTATATCCGTAGGGAAGGATATTAAACAGCTTTCAACTGCATTTGTGAAACCAATCATGATTGGTAACACTGAACTAAAGAGGCTTTTAACCCTAAAAAGAATTAAGAAATTATTTTTCATCAAAAAAGCTGACATCAATACTTAAATTATATGAAAGGTAAGAAAGATAACCAAATCTGTATTTTCTGCATGAACAGTGGACAAAGTCCACTGAACCTAGGAAGTACTTATTCTAAACAAACTCAATAAAGTTCTAAACTCATCAAATGCTAGTTAGAGAGTCAGTATAAACAATATTGGCCTAGAAATGGACAAGAAGACCATGAGGGCTATAGTTGAAAGAACTAACACCAGGCAGGCATTGGGCTGAGTCTACCAGATAACTCAAATGCTGGGCTATATTTCTCTGCTGACATATAATGTATAGCAAAGTACACAAGTCATAACTATCTATCTTGAAGAATATTTACATCAAGATTAAGATACAGAGTATTCCTAACACCCCAGAAAGTTCCTTTGTTCCCATCCCAATGAATAACCAGTCCCACCCTAGTTTCCCAACTCCACAGCCAGGAGTAACCATTATTTTGATCTCTGGCGTCATACACACTTTTTGTCTGTTTTTGAATTTCACATAAATGAAATCATACCCTATGTTGTCTTTTATGCTTTCTTTTATTCATCACAGGGTTACCTTATTTTGAAGCAGAAAACCCAGAAGCTGAGGTTTATTTTCCGAAAATGTTTCTCTGATGTCACAGGCCTGAATACCAACTGCTCTGATTACACTGGTTATACTTCCTGCCCTCTTCCGAGCATGCATTACAAAAACTGTTACAACAGAACACCATTTTGGATTGCAAAAGTTTCCTTCCAGATAAATTAAATTATTTAAAGGTATTCAAATATTCTATTCAATCTTAACAGAGTATAAGCTTTGCCACTATAAAAGCATAATCTTTTCCATGAATGTAAAATTCTTATTCTAGAGAATCATCAAGTCCTAGAATAAAACTAACCAGCAATTCTGTTATTACTTTTGATTAGTAAAGAATTAAATGACAGGAAAATCTCTCAGAGGAGGCATAAGGCACTAAATTCAGATGAATGTGAGTCAGCTCAGAAAAGGCAGGAGAGGAACAACAGTACAACAATAAATTATAAGTACAGATTTTGAGGCCAAGCTATCAGTATTCTAATCTGGAAAGTGCCCCTTCTAGCTAGGTGACCTTGGGCAAGTCATTACTCTAACTTTGTACCTCTATTACATCACTATAAAATGGGAATAACTTCATACGGTTGTTGCAAGGATTAAATGTTAATGTATACAAAGCACTTAGGAGACCATGTGACACACAATAAGCACTTTTTTTTTTTTTTGAGATGGAGTCTCACTCTGTCACCAGGCTAGAGTGGATGGTGTAACCTCGGCTCACAGCAACCTCTGCCTCCCAGGTTTAAGCCATTCTCCTGCCTCAGCCTCCTGAGTAGCTGGGACTACAGATGCGTACCACCATGCCTGGCTAGTTTTTGTATTTTTAGTAGAGACAAGGTTTCACCATGTTGGCCAGGCTGGTCTTGAACTGACCTCAGGTGATCTGCCCGCCTTGGCCTCCCAAAGTACTGGGATTACAGGCATGAGCCACCGTTCCTGGCCATAATAAGCACTTTTTAAGAATCAGCTAGGCCGGGCGCGGTGGCTCAAGCCTGTAATCCCAGCACTTTGGGAGGCCGAGACGGGCGGATCACGAGGTCAGGAGATCGAGACCATCCTGCTAACACGGTGAAACCCCGTCTCTACACCTAAATAACAAAAACTAGCCGGGCGAGGTGGCGGGTGCCTGTAGTC